AGGAAGGCTGGGCTGCAGCAGCACGTGCCTCCCTGGCTTTGCTCCATCTGATCCAGGGCACCTGGAAGCCCCTCTCCCATCTTCCCCACCCCACAGGGATGCTGGAGAGGGGTTATGTCTTCATCCAAACTTCACAGTTCATCCCTGTTATCCCACTGCTGACTTGGATGGGGTGATACCAGGGGCAATCTTGGCTCGGCTCAGCCCCAGCCCTTGGGACACCCAGGCTCTCTCCTGAAATTTGGGCTCACCTCTGCAGCTTTGATGTCCTCCGCAGGGAGTTTGCTGAAGAAATCATCCTCTAGAAAGGACCTGTGACACAAGCCGGGGGTTAGCAGCACCACATGCGAGCTCGGCAAGGGTGCCCTGGGGACAGCCAGGCCAGATGGTGGGAGGTGGAGGGGACCGCAGGGGCACACCATGACAGCCACATCATACAACAGAAAATGAGGCTAGAATAGCACTGGGATGAAAGACAGTAGTGCTAGCACTGCTATATTTAAGCAAGCAACTGTCATAAGGGAGATTTACAGAAGATGTACGGGGCTGGGGGCACCCAACTCTTGCTGGAAAGCTTCAGGCTCTGGGCTCCCAGTTCCCAAAGGCATCGCAGGTAACTCGCCTTCCCAGGCAATTGCTATCGGGGCAGGGAGCGAGGTGGAGAAGCCGAGGATGGGGCAGGTCAGAAGGACTTGGGGAGCACATAAAGATCTCCAAGTGGGAGAGGCTATGTCTGAAAGGCACTCACTTCTTGCTGGCCTGTGAGCTGGTGCCCCGGGCTCTCCCACTGCTGCCCCCAGCCAGCTGGGAAGCTCTGGCAGATGTAACAGGGGGTTCATCTGGAAACAAGACAGGGAGAGATTAGGTTGACAGATACAGGCATATTCCTACTCTAGGCACTCCAAAGGTGGATTTGCTGTCTCCCTGTGAGCTGCAGAGGCTTTTAATCGGAGATGGACTTCACTTCACCTCCCCAACCTGATGTCCAGCCTATACAGTGGCCTCTGACTCTGGGATACCCTGCTTTCCGCTCTGCTGCCTGGTTCATCCCTCCCCTCACAACTGGAGCCCCTTGGAGATCAATGGCTGTTGCACCAGCACCTCCTGCTCCCAGGAGGGGAATAAGAACACATGGATGCTGCCCTTTCAGTTGCAAAGAAGGTTCATTTTACCATCATATCGCAGGAGGTCATCAAGCACATCATCAATAGAGCCTGAAATGAGACAAATTAAAGGTGTTGAGGCAGGTGAGCCCACCAAGCAGGTGTAAAAAAGCTCCCAATTTCAACATGGCTTGCACTTTTGAAATCCCCCAAGAATAAAGGCTTGGTCTCAAGCATCATCAGCGCAAGGCCTTTCTTGCCAGTCTAGAAAGAACTCCCAGGTCTCGATCCACTATTTTGTAGATAAAAGATCTGTCTTCACTTAGTCAGAAATGGGAGATCTTTATGAAGTCAGCCAGCTGCTTTCTATTCACTTAGTCACCGGCCACAGGCAGCACTTAATGTGTGAGCTCTCACCCCGCAGTATCTCAGAGCCCCTGGGCAACCCCAAAAGCACTGTTTCAGTATCAGGGGCTGCAAGAGGCCTCCAAACAAGCAGTTAGGGATTAGGTGAGGAGAAGAACTGAAATAAATGCATATATTCTCCCCTGGATTTGGGAAAGCCCACAAGAAAGGAATATAGGACCCCAATAAGCAAATCCACTTGATGCGAGAGGCAAGTGAGTATCTCCGGTTCAGGAATGACACAGCTCACTCAACTGCAGCTTTCACACAAGGATCATGAAACATTTCAGTAGCCAGGACTGCCACCTGATCCCAGTGTCCCCCCTCTTCTGTCCCATGCATTCCCAGCAGACCAAAGCACCTACAGACAGTGAAAGGAAAGCATGTGAGTGTACGTACCTCTTAAACCCTTTTGGGGTTTTGTAGCCTATGGAGAAAGACAAATTCTCTCATTAGAAAATGAAGCAGGTCTGACCTGGACTTTCTCAAAACACGCTAAAGCCAGAGGCAGGTTTCTCCAGAGCATCCCATAAGCAACAGTGAAGCCCTCCTCCTGCTCATGCTGTTTGGGAAATGGCACATGAAATGCAGGGGAACCACAGAGATATTGACAACTTTAGAGACACCAGTGAGCACAGTCCCTCCTGACTGCCAGCTGGGCAGAAGCCTCCGGCCCTTGGCATCACTTGGGCCTCCAAACAGAGGTGGCTGGGCATCAAATTTGGATTTCCCAGGCCTGCCTTAGTACCGGATCACACTCACCATCGTGGCGTGCCAGCCTTCCCCTGCTCCAGCAAGTCCATTTACAGATTCTTCCAACCTCCACCTCCACGTTGCCGGGGGGGATCCAACACCGTTGATCACATCCACACCAACCTCCTACCTGCAGGGAGAGGAGGATTTTCCGATTTGCTGTTACAGCCAGTGGCACCTCTCTTAAACAATTTCCCTCTGCAGCCTGCCAGGCTGGCTCCGTGCTGCTCGGACCTCTCCAAGCCACTCTAAATGAGGCTCAATCTAAGTCTTAAAAACGATCCCCCGTTCCCCAAAACAGTCTGGCGTTCCTGCAGCAGTTTGTGTGGGGAATATCACAACGACACCAAGAAATTGCTCTGCAAAATAACTCGAGAGGGAACAAATACCACCCGTTCTGCCCCACTTGTGTGGAGCCAAGTAGAGCCCAGGGGGTGACTCCTGCTGTGCCCAAAGCCTGGCGAACACCCCGGGGGGGCTGGGGAGGGAAGGGGGGAAGGAAACCTCATCTCTTTGGGTCCCGAGCACCCGGGGCGGGGG